ATATTTAAAGAGTTTTCAAGTGAATAATTCTCAGACAACCCCCAAAACAATACTACTTCTTTACATGCATTTCCGTATTTATTAACATAGTACAGTATGGTGACAGTAAGGCAGGAATGTGCCAGCGTATATAAAAAATCTGTATTAAGTTGGGAAGGAGGAAATGTGGAATGAGTCCACGTTATGGAGGATGGACCTCTCACCAGGAAAATGGCTTTTGTACACTCATGTTTAGTCAGCTTTGAAAGAGAATAATGTCTTGTTTCCCCTTCTGCTTTATTCAGATAAAGGTTATTCTGGGTTATTTTGAGAAGAAATGCAATAAAACATACGTTTTGAGAATGGTCATTAAATACTACTGTAGACACAAGTTCACTGTTTATAAATGGACTGGACAACCGTTGTCACACATAATTTTTTAGGGTAGGGGTATTCTGCGTGTCCTAATGAGTTTATCAAGAAATACAGAAGAACTGCTGTTAATATTCACTCATTTGGCTTTCCCCTTCCAGTGCTGATCACATACAGACTTGTTCTAGTGTTGGTTTTGGTTTGTTTCATTTTTAAATAATAAAACAACCAACAGAAAACAATTAATTAATGTGATTAATGTTCCGATTGATACACATTAACCATGGGGCTGATAAAGATGTCTTGAAGTTTTTGGGAATTAGGTAGAAATTGAGATATTAATATGGTGTTCTCAGACAACAGGAACCTCTGTTTCAGTAAAAACTCTGCAGGAAGGAGGGTACTTGCAAAACAGGTGGTTGCCTTTCTACCTGAGGCTAGAGTGTAGCTGGAAAAATAAATAGTGAATACCTGCTTCCAGTCCTTCTGCAGTTAATGCTACTTGTGTATGTAGTAACTTTCTTACCTGCGTTCAGAGAAAAATTTCAGATGTTAAACATAAAAGAAATTTCTTCTTTTATGCATCTTGTGATCTGTGTATCTACCCTGCTAACCTAAGTGAAATGTGGACTCTGTTACTTACCTGTTACTTAATTACTAGCTTTCCTAGATACTATAAACTTTCCTGAGTGATTTTTTTTCCTCCCCCTTATTTTCCATTCTGCCTGCGATCTCTGTAAAAGGGTTCAGTTAATGACACTTTAAAAATGTACAATGAAACAAAAAATAAAACCTCAACCTAGAAATATGAGACAAAGTAATTTGGGCAAGGTCAGCTCTGTTATAGCACACATCTTGCATATTTAGTGTTAAAACACAACTGGAATATCTTTAACTGCACATTTAACTGGAAACCAGGGCAGGAGACTGTTATTATATTAAGGAAATCTTTACTTTAGATTTTTTGTGGTTATTCTTTCTAATATTCCAGTATAGGCTGGAATATTGAAAACTGAATTCTGGTATACAAAGAAAAATTCATTAACTTAAGGACATTGCATTGCAGAGCTGTACTCTTTCAATTTTAGTTCACAATATGTTAGGATATTTTGGATTAACAATTTTTTAACATAAGTATGTTGCCACACATTCTTTAAATCAGGTGTGATGTTTTCCATATCCAAAAGTAATCTCAGCTCAAAGTTTTGAAATGCAAGTATAGTAACATCCCCGAAGTCACCCCATTAAAGTAAGGAATTCATGTTGCAGTTTTATGGTGATATGTACTACTACTAAAAGAGAGCGTCCTTTTCCTGTCAGAGGTGGAAATGACACTCCTTTATGTTTTGTGTTTTTCACGTAGTGGGTATACGTATGTATCTCCTTTGTGCTTTCCCATAGCATGTGTGTGACTGTAAAGGAGTGGATTCTGCTGAGTCTTTCTGCTGTGTTAATTGCCAACCAGATCAGCTCCCTGACTGAGCTGTCTGTGTGGCCACAGCAGCACTGTGACTGCTATAATGGAGAAGGAGTGCTGTGTGAGGAGGCAGGTGTATCAGCCACATCAGGGATTTACACTGGTATATGCCACTTGGGAAACCATGGACTGGGCAGCAGTTCTGCCATTTATGTGCATGTTTATGACCCTTTGGCAACCTAACTCACTTCAGTATTTCTGGAAGGATTTATTAGCAAGGGGTAAACAAATACCTAAGTTAAACATGGTTCAACTGTATGTCCTGGGCTTGTTAGTTTGTGTTGTCGAATAGTTTGCAGTTGCACTCAGGTATTTTTGCCACCTGTCACCTTTCCCCATGTGCAATGAAAAATGCTGTTAGCTTGGTACAAGCTGATGGATTGCACATGCTTCCTCCCATTGAGGGGTTGTCTTGGTTCCACATACAGGGGAGGAGAGAGCCTGTGTTTGTGTCTGAGTGCGGTTTTGGGGTGGCTTTGATGGGAAGGGGATGTGGATGGCTGTTTTCTTGGACCATTAGGAGAGAAACTGAATAAATTGTTGTGAGTTTTGAAGAATTCTGTAGTTATTAAATTATTAAGTAATCAAAATAGATAGTTCCTCCACCTTCTCCAGTGAAATGTTGTCACATCATCAACGATGCAGCTGTCCTGAGCACTAAATATAAAGCAAAACTTGAATAACTTAAAATCCTTGACTACTATGTGCTTTCAGAAATTTCTGATTCTTGCTTCCTTTTCCTCTGTGTATTTCCAGTGAGTAGATTCAGACCTCTTTTTATAATTTGTTGCTAGTTGAAACTAGTTCTTGTTTTTATAATCATATTCTGGTTTTTGTTTAAATTTAAATTGACTTTGTTAAACTCCGGTAAGGTATAAGAAATCCTGATCTCTTGACCCACATTAAAATTGAGTGGGAAATGAAAAGTAATTAGTAGGTGTTAAAATAGTAAATTCTCTAAATCTTTTTTTGCTCTACATATTTGTTTTTAAAAGCATTTTGGGGAATGATGTATTATAAACTTTGACATCAACAAAGATATTTTAGCTGTGTTGGCGCAGGTAAATGAGAGTCTCTCACTTGATTCCTTGTTGCTTACTGTCTTGTTGCTGCCTGTGTGCTGTGGCTGTGAAGTGCTCCTGCTGGGGTTTGCTGTAGATAGTTGCATTGCACAGGTGTACAGTGAAATGCGGTGGAAAATTGCGCTACTTGACTTCAGTGAAGAGCAAAACCAAATGTTCTCTCAACCTTTGTACAGTAATAAAGGTTTATATTTGAGTTAATGAACAGCTTTTATAAACCATAAATTACAGTTTCTCCAAATATTTGACAAAATAAGTTTTGTGCTCTTGCTGATTTACTAATGCACAGGTGCATTGCATCACTTTTAGAAACTTAAAAAGTATTTAAAGCTTTGTTTTTTAGTAATAACTTATTTCTACAGATTGAAATAGTTAATGGTAAGGAAGAGGAAGAATATTTTAGAATTCTAGGTGTCTTTTACATTTACATGATTCGAGGTATTATGGCACTGTTTGTTTTTAACAGAATGCTAATCTGATTTAACCCTTCTAAGCTATATGATACTATTGTTATGGTGAATAAAAAGCCATCGTTCCTTGTAGACTAATAAAAAACCTATGTCCCTAGGTAATTGAGTTCCCAGATAACGTTTCAAGCTTGCATTATCTCTGCTCGTGTCAACTTACTGGTTTCTTTTATTGAAAAGAATTATGTTTCTCATAAGGTAGCCTGTTATCCTGTCTAGCTGATGTGTTTTTTGGTGCATAGTATGATCACAGGTATGAGGGAGCAAAAGCTGCTAAGTACAATAAGTAGCATAGGGAATGCCCCTTAGCATCTGATAGGAATATTAGTAATTCACTGAGAGTGGAAAACTCAAAATCTGTGAATTTCCAGGTAGCTGAATCTTGACTTTTATAAGAAAAGCAACCATCTAAATGCATGGTAAAGAAAACATGAATTGTATTCATGCAGGGAAACAATGCAGAACTAAGTGTCCCTGGCATTACTGAGTGTTTTTGTGATGGGCTGTGCTACTTTTGATCTGAGAAAAGTCTTTATTTTTTCTTTTCTAAGGACATTTAATATTTTGGAGTGGATTTGTTTTTTATGTAATATGTTTTATTTATTTTTCTAGAGATTATAAAATAATTATGATGTTTTTAGATATTAGCCACAATAAACATCCACAGTTTGAGATTTCTAAAATCTGAAACCTGCATATAGCATCTTAAAAAGAGAGGTTACTTGTTTATCTGCATATTTCAAATCCACTTCCAGCAGACATATCAATAATCTCCAGAAATTAAAAAGCATTATTACTAGTCTTCAAATATACAGATTTCTTTAGCATCAGCAGATAGACTAGATTTAAATTATCTGGATTTTTAGTGGATTTCCAGTTGTAACAAAAATAGATTACTTAGAAGAGCATCAAATAAAAGAATGTTCGTTTGCTTTGTGTGTCTTAAAAAACTTAAAGCGAGGAGATATATAGCTTGGATTTAGTAAAGATAAAGGGGAGTGTTCAAGCTACTTACTTATTGCAAATGGATTTAATAGTTTAAAATCTTCCAAACCAATGCATGTAGTGTGGAATCCTATTTATAGGATTTGTTTTCCATACTTTCTGTGTGCTGTTAAATTCTGATACTTCTCAGTGTTCTATTTGTGTTTCGTGTTCAGCAACCAAAGATTTGTTGAGTGTACTCAGTTGTACACTCTTGTTGAACATATGTTGTCCAATACACTGTCCGATACACTGTCAATACATGATATTATAAAATATTTGGTAGCAATGCACAAGGCCACTTACAATACGGAAGAACAGAGGAATGCCAAAAGTATCCCTACAAAATATATACTCCCAGTACGTTCCTTTGGAGATAGTGACAGTTGTATTTCTACATATTAGAGATACATATATGCACACACACACACATACTACATGCACATATATATATATGTAGTAACACTTTTTGTTTTCAAAATAATAGTCTCATCATCACTAAGAATTATTTGAGGATTTATAGGTGGGTAAATCAGAGTTTCATTTCACATTTTAAACCATGGCAACCTCAAAATTAAATCCACTAAAACAAGACTGAAGTTTGTGTTAACTGGAATTCTGTGTGTTTTGTCTGCCTAGGAGGAACAGGCTGCTAAACTCAAAGCTGAGAAGATTAGGGTTGCGTTAGAGAAGATTAAAGAGGCACAAGTGAAAAAGGTAAGTTATTTATACTGGTTTATAGGATCTTTATTTTATACTTATATACCTGGAACATGCAGGCAAAATTCTTCTCATTTGTGTCTGCTACCATTAAGTTACCCTAAATAAAATAGGAACACTGTAGTCTTCTGATCTTGAGTGATAATGTAGTTTCTCATCTAGACTGCACCTAATCAAGAAGATCCTAGCATATGGAATAACATTATGTTTTTCTTAAGGAATAGCTTATTTTGGAGCTAGTGCACATTGAGAAGACTTTGTCAACTTCCACCCAGAGCTGAAATGAAGGTCCACCCTCCTGAAATGGTCTTTGTATATTAAGCAGTCACACATTTAAAATTTGGGTCTGTTTTCATTACAGACCCCTCCACATTATGCATAGCAGGATTTTCCAGTGATAAATGAAATACAAGCATTTCCAGTGATAAATGAAATACAAGCATTCCATACTACTGCAGGCAGGGTTTTCCAAGTGGATAAAGTCTACTGACATTACTTGGTGCACTATCAAAGAACATAGAGTGTTCCCTTGAAATTTAGCATTCTTATTTTACATTTGGAGTTTTTTAGTATCTTAAAATGCCTTTTACATTTAGTGATTATATATCAAAAGCCAAAAAACTGTCCTGGCTGGAAGACGGAAACTAACAAGCCAACCAGTGTATTACAACTAGTATGTTTTTACTTTTCCAGCTGTTAAAGGTGTTAAAAAGGAAGCATAATGACTGGCAAGAAGAATCTGTTGTCTTAAGTTTTTTGATTGGTTAAAAAAATGGCTGCATTTTTCCTTCTGGACAGTGACCTCTTTAAAATGCCTAGAAAAAACCATTGTGATTTAAAAGCAGATCTCTTTTGCTTCATACTCCCCAGAAGAAGAAGCTTTAGTATAGGTATATAGTTTACATAATCAGCATTTTTAGAAAATGTGGAGAAAGCGGGCAGAAAGCTTGATTGCAAATATGAAAAATTCTAATTCCTTATAAAGCTGTGCAGAACTTTATACATTGTTCCACCTAGATACATGAGAAAAATTGTCACAAAGGCAATTTATTAATCATAACAGGACACTTTATCAAGAGGGATTTTTTTTCCCTCCTTAACACACATCTAAAGCACATTATAATGGTATTGGGAAGACCTTTGTATTTACTCTCTTATGCTGAAGAACAGTATCTTGTTGAGTGTCCGTGATATAAATATCTAACCATCATTTATGGCTTTTTATATTTTGAGGGAGTGTTTTGATTGAACTTAATATTTTATGCTGTTTTAACAAAATCCTAGAAAAAGAAACAAGGTCTTAAAAACCATGGTTTTATTTGAAATATGGGAAATTAATCCTTCTTCTTTTTTTCCTAATTTTCTGCTTAATAGTTGGTAATCAGAGTCCATATGTCTGATGACAGCTCAAAAACAATGATGGTGGATGAGAGGCAGACAGTGAGACAAGTATTAGACAATCTGATGGACAAATCACATTGCGGTTACAGTTTAGACTGGTCATTGGTAGAAACCATCTCTGAATTGCAAATGGGTAAGTAATAACTGTAAACATATAATTCTGCAACATTTTACCAATGAGAATAGTATGAATAAGTAACCTTATTAGATCTGCAATAGTTTCATGTTTTTATCACGGAAAAATCTCTGTGTAGTAGGTAGAAGGGTCCTGAGCCAAAGGCTCAACTAGAGGTCTTTCCCATCCTAGATTTGCTTTCATAAGATACTTCCATTCACTGTGTAGCTTGGAAAGAATAAAGGAAAAAAATACTGGAAAAAATATTTTCAACTTCTGTTAGAAACAAAGGGCTAGGCTTCAGGCAGAAAGATAAACTGATATTTATCCAAATTAACAGTGTGACTGAATTAAGATTATTTTGAAATGAAACCAGGGTTAACAAATCTTTCTTGTTGGGTGTTTTGCAAGTATAGGCATGCCCTACTGTATGAGCTCAGTGACATACTGGGAATGACAGAATTTGAGTGCCATATTGAAAGAGTTTCAAGCTCAAAAGCAAGATCTATTACAATTACAGGATTTTAAATTCAGACTACAACATGATAAACCTAAGAAAGATGCAAGAGTGTAGAATTCAGTTTCCTGTTTCATTTTTCGGTTTGGATTTCCTTGATCCTTGGTAGGGCAACTGTTAGATAGTTCTTAATAGATTTAATATATGTGTTTCTTTAAAGACAATCCAAAATGCAGCCTGATTCATATATTTTATACTGGAACTTAAAAAACAGATGAAAAAAATTATTACAACAAAGCCCTCACCCTATGTACTCTTGTGTTATTTTGGCAGTGGTTCTTCTTTTGAAACGTTTTTCCTGGCAATGCCTATGTAAGAGGAAGGAACTCCTTTTTTGTAGTATTTTCCTTGAGTAAGACACAGAAGACCTAAGTGTCTTCCCAGTGTATTTTACCACGTTGTCTTGTCAGTTGATTGCTCATTAATTGTGCAGTTCAATAAAAAGCAGTGAATGCTTTAAGCTAGCAAACAGCAGAGAAAGACATGAGGCTTCTGGAGTTCCTGATTGTCTTTGCATTTTATGTGGCCTGCTTCAAATGTATGTGGTTAACTAGCATTTGAGAAGTCTGGTTTAGGTACATGTACCTGAAGTGAAAGGCCACCTATTACTATCTAATGGTTTAACCAGAAGCTTTGTGTATACTTTCAGAAGAACTCAGTGATATTATTTCCAGAATGCAGAATGAAATGCTTTGCCCAGTTTTACCCTGCAAGTTTGTAACAGAAACAACTCTGGAAGGTTTCTTTTGGTTGGGACAAAAGCTGGGAGTTTTTTGGTTTTGATATTTTTTTTTTTTTGTTGGAGCAAAATACATCTATGAAGCATCTGTGAGTTACGTTTTAGTTTTGGAGAGTATGCTTAATGATAGAAGCATTGCATTATGTATAGCTTTACATACTATAAGTACATATACACTCAGTGAATAAGTTGTTTTGTGGTTGAGTTCAGTTATTGTTCTTCTTGTAATAACAGTTGATATGTTTTGAACGCTATTCAGTTCCACTAATGAGGCTGCAGTGATATCTAAGCTTTTGTGTCACAGTCCTCTGGAGTTTTCTTGCTTTGTTCTTATTATGTAACACCTTTTTTACTTTCTTGGAAAGCAGTATTGCCCTGATGCTGATAGAGCTTGATGGAAGTATGGATTGTAACTCAAAAGCTTCTTAGAAACGTCTCACGGAGACCTCAGTAGTGCTCTGCTGTTCTCAAATGTGAATTCATTCCCTACAGATGACATTTTGTTGCATTCACTCTGCTTGGTATTCTTAATTACCAAAGATGTTGAGATGTCATCTGTCATCTCGGTCTTCATTAGTGATAGCTCCTAGGTCTTGATGTGATCAGTGCCATATAACCTCTGTAAAAATTTGGTGAATTGATTTTGTGGGGAAAAAAAATATTCTGCTTTCAGATGCAATTGAAAGGTAAAGCAAGTCCCAGAGGATTCTGAAAGAAATAATTTGCTGAAATGCCACTGTGTGACCTATGTGAAGAGGGAACAAATTGTAGAAAGCAAGGTTTTACTTCAGTGTCTTTGAAAGGAGGAGAAAATTGGTCTAGTGATTTACCAAAGATGTATTGTTCCTTATTTATTTTAGAATAAGGGTTTTTAGATACTTCTCTACCATTTCAGTAAATTTTCCTTTTTTTTTCTTCCTCTCTTCTCTTTTACCTTTTTTTTAGTGTGTTGTACTAGTGGTAAGTATTTCAACAGAGAGTCAAAGCTCAGAGTTCTCAGAAGCCATTGTTGATACAAAGCATTTTGTTTTCCCTCCAATCATTTTCTATTACTTTTTGTGATACTTTACAAGTGACTTAGTGCTTGGGGATATAGAGGCAAATTTTATGCTGAAAAATCTGCCTAATAAATTATTCCAGGGATTGTGTGGACCAGAGTCCATATAAATGTGATAACCTTATTTTACTCATAACATTTGAAATGTCGTCATCTGAGTCTTCTCTGTTCATGTGGGATGGTAGACCTTGTCAGGTAAAAAAAAAGAAAAACACTTCCTATATTGATGGAACTATAAGCCTGAAGAGATGGTAGTGAGAGTGTTGAGTAAATGTATGTGTAAAACTAAACGAGACATGCCTGAAAGTTGACTGAGTTCTTTTAGCTTCCTAGTGTAAACTTCTTCCCCATTTTAATAGACCTTGAGCTCTATTTTCTCTATGTATACACCTTGTCTCCCAGATATGACTACAGAATAGTTTCTATCACAAAATGTGACAGATTCAAATGTATTTGCTCTCTTGTTATTGCTGCAGAAAGGATCTTTGAAGATCATGAAAATTTAGTTGAAAATCTTCTGAACTGGACAAGAGATAGTCAAAACAAACTAATGTTCGTGGAACGTATAGAGAAATATGCACTTTTCAAGAATCCCCAGGTAAGCCTGAGATTCATGTGAAATGCATGTGTGTGTGCAAGCATGCATGCCTGTTTGCAGTTACTTACTTTTTTGGTAGCATTTATCTCCATACTTTTATTGTGATGCTTGTCTATATATAAAATGCCAGGCAACTTTACATTTCGGCACCGTGTACATCCGCATTGTGGTTGGCACAAAATCAAGTCCCTAGCAGAAAACATGATCTGAAGCAATCTGTTGGGCACTGTGTTTGTAGGTAATTTTAATGGAGATGAAGGCAAGCAGTTTCATGGCATTTATACCAACACTCAGTGCTGTTCAAATATGTAAATATGCAAGAAAGGTCTTGGCAGATATTGCTAATAGTAATGCCTTTCCACTGTGCGTTCGTATGTTGCTGGCAAGAATGGGAAAAGAAAATCTAAGAGAATAGCTACTCCACGGTCAAATGGGAAGTGAAGAGAGCACGTGTCCTTCCCTGTAGAAGCTGGCACCTGTCTGTTCCCCTGTGTTTTCTGTTCCCTGGCTAGGAAACCAAAGGACCCTCTTCTCTCAAATGGCCTCAAAGGCCTTTCTTCTCTCAAATGGTAGCCACAGATTTGATATCCAGCAGCAGTTCAGTATTGTAAGGGAGTGGAGGAAAATAAACAGAAAAGCAGAAGGTGGCTCTTTGAAGAATTTGAATTGAAAAGAACTTCATATAGTATCACTTGATCTCTTAACTCTTGCCTACCCTTTTGTAGTCATAGATTATTTTTATATCTGTATGGCATCTATGTGGTAGTTTCTTGGATTTAAATTAAGTATCAGTTCTGCATGCTCATCCTCTGAGACACTATCACTGTACTTGATTTTTTTTTTTTTTTTTAAAAAGCAAGAGTTGAAAACCAGGTCTCACTCAAGTGCTTTGCACTGAAGCAGCAAAACTCTTAAATTCTTTTTAAAACCATGTAGTTAATATGTTTACTATAAGTACGTATGGTAGGCACTGTCAACAAGAATGAGGTACCAGCATGAAACTAGTATTAATGCTTGGTTTAAAATATTGAACTGGCTAAACTCTGTGAATATTTTTTTTTTCCAGTATAAGAGCTAGGGGTTAGGTAGAGGGGAGGTTTTAAGTGTCCCAGTCCTTTCCAAGCTGAAGACCAGTACAAAACATCTTCTTAAATAAGATGCAATACCTATACATAGTTAGGTTCATTTTAAGAAGACAAAGGAGTATTTAATAATTCTTCATGAAAAATATTTCTGGAAAAGGTGATTATAACTTAGTTCCATGTATTATTTAACAGTCTGACAGATAGTTTCAATTAGACTACAAAGTTTGGTCTGGTTAATGTGTTGTTCTTAGATAATAGCTGTTTTTTTTCTTACTGCTACAGAAAGGTAAATGAGAAGTGTTATTTGACTTGATTTCAGGGTGCCTATAGAAATACTAAGCTTTCTCTTGTTACAGAACTATCTTCTGGGTAAGAAAGAAACTTCTGAGATGGCAGACAGAAATAAAGAGGTGCTGCTAGAGGTAAGACTGCCAAAAGAAAAAGGACGTAGTGGTCATTTCAGAGCTTGAAGCTAAACTCTAAGTGGTTGTAGTGATTGAAATTGATGGACCAAGCTTAATATAATTCTTGAACAACTGTGAATGGAATGTGTTACATTTGAGAAAAATGGCTATTTTAATGTTACACATTTCAGATACAATAATTTAATAAAAATGTGGTTTATTTTGTTTACTAACTAAAATACCATGCACAGTGATAATCAAAATGAGGTTACCTGTAACTGTGGCTAAAAACAGCTGAAATTTGCAGACCCGTCACCTAGGTTTTTTTGACCTGTGGTGGTAGAGATTTTTTTACTAGTACTCTCCAAATTGTTATTCTCTACAAAATTCTATAGCATTGGTTCAGTGACTGGTCTATGTTAATATTTTAAATTTTGTTAGTGAGCAAAGTCATTTAAGAGTGTTCCCATTGCATTTTAAAATGAACAAATATTAAATTTTTAAAAATCAGAGACAGAAAAGGTCAATTAATATCCAGCACGTTGGATACTTTACAGAACTAAGGACAGCAAAAAAAATGTGTGGAGCAAATAAGACAAAAAGTAAACACAGCCTCTCTAAGCTGAAAACTGAATGGGTTTTGACATTTTTGTAGACACACACCCATGCTGAAGTGTCATAACTTCCACTTGATTTCCTGAATAATTATTATTATTTCAGTAGTTACACAAAAGTAGATATTTTGGGTATTTAATTTTGGAGTATACTTAATACAATTTAATTTACAAGTAGCATATGCATGCTCTTAGTATAATTATTAATATGTATTTTAATAAGTGGTCATGTGTATACTGTAGGTCAAAAAGATGCTTGAAGCCATGACATGCAGAGAGTTGCAATTGCATCTAATTCTTTCTGTCTTCTGGGATTACTGTGCTGCATATTAATCTGGAGTGTATTTAAAGTGTTTGTTTTCCTCTGTTAGCTCTTTATAAATAGAACCTTAACAGAAGTAGAAGTGTTGGCACCTTAGTAGCAACAAAGTACTCATGGAATAAATTATAGCTGTACATGATGGATATGTAATTAGGTTTTGTGTATACTTAGACTTATGAGGCTATACCTATAAGGTGACCTCATGATTTTAAAGCCAGTAAAGTCATTGGGCACTCTATTATTGATAAACAGTGATTAGAAAAATCTCTACAGTAGCTGCCAGTATTTTCGTTGTCATTCTTGCACTGAGAAAATGCTAAGATCCCCTATTGTGTTTATCTGAATTACCTTATAGCTTCTACAATAAATGTCTTGAATTCATATCACTGCATGAAAAAAAGAACTGTCCCTGTTATGTGTGCGTTCCTTAGATAAAGATTTTTGGTCATTAAAAACAAACCACTGCATGCTGTATGTTCTCTCTGTTTCTCTCTTCCCTAACCACTGTCTGTCGGCAGGAATGTTTCTGTGGAAGTTCTGTAACCGTGCCAGAGATTGAGGGAGTTTTGTGGCTGAAAGAGGATGGTAAAAAGTCCTGGAAGAAACGTTACTTTCTTCTTCGAGCTTCTGGAATCTACTATGTCCCTAAAGGGAAGGCAAAGGTATGCTATTTAAAAGCAGTTTCCCTGAATTTTTTATTGCTGGTAAATCATGCGCACAAAAGTCAGCCTTAAATTTTGACTTAGCTATTCCTTGCCTAGTACCACATCCCTTAATTAAAAGTGTGGCTTTATCATGGAAATATTGTGTAAATTACTGTGGTAGCACTTGATGTGAAGGATGTAACCCCAGATTTAAAAATACAGAAAGACACGGGTCTGCTTCTTGAGTGAGCTCAGGGTTAGGTGTTCAGAAACACTTGAGGAAGAATGATTGGTGGAGTTAAGAGGCTGTCTTTTCTCAACCAAAATTCAGATGAAGCACCAAATTGCACTGCAAATGCCAGTCATAATATATCAGACTAACTCCACAATCAGTCTGCATAATTTCATTGGTTTTAGTTCATGTAAGTAGGATACTTTTCAGACCAATTTGTGCTGTTTTTTGAAACTGGTAAATATAATACCATTTCTTCAGTGTCACTTACTGCTGTTCTGTGTGTATCAATAATGAAAAGTAAATAGAAAGCTGTTACAAATGCGTTATAGCTTCAAGGCTGAACTACTGGGAGTTCAGGTTGTCCATGAATTCATCGGTCTTGACAGCATCATCTGATCCCCAGTACAGGAAGTCTACTTCCCACACAGCTGGCAATGAAGAGGAAATCTCTGTCAGTACATCAGCTTCCTCTAGAGCTTCAGATGTTCCTTCCACAGATGTTAGCTGTATTAAAACAATCTATATGCAAGATAGCCTGTTGAAATTCTGTGCCCTACAATCACTGCCAAACACTGTTAGAATTTTACTCACAGTGACACAGGAATTTGGACACCTTGATTATTACCAGGGTGAAATGTAGCCAACAGCTGTTTAAAAGTTCCTGGTCAACAAGTCCTATTTACTTTCCTCTGATAACAGCTCTGAGTAAACGTTAGTAGTCTGGTATAAAATGTTGTCAAAAGGCAAAATGCAGGCAAAACACAAAAAACTAAACTGAATTTGGAAAAGGATATCCTGGTTAAAAATGAAGGTCCCGTACAGAATTTATGCATGGCTGTATCTCCTTGTATTGGTAATTTTTGAATCAGATTGAAAGTAATATTTGGCCTTAACTAGACCCTATATTAGTATTGGATCTTAACACTAGACTGATTTTGTTAGTGTGTGTGGTTTTCTTATAAAGATATTTTGTAAATGGTTATTTTTGTATTTAATAGGTCTCACGGGATCTCGTGTGCTTTCTACAGCTAGATCACGTCAATGTTTACTATGGACAGGACTATCGGAACAAATACAAAGCACCCACAGACTATTGTTTAGTGCTAAAGGTAACTTGTTAATTGTTTTGAAAATTCTCATACTGAAAAGAGCAATTGAAGAGCTCGAAACATTTCTACACTAATTTTAGTCCCTTGTAATAACTCTACTTCCAAATTGTGACCAAGACCTGATTAACACAATATTTATCTTGGGAGAGATTATACTTTAGAATACACTTCTTATAGTTGTATAATAATTGGAAAACTATGCCTGTCATTTTGCAAGATGAACCTCTAAATTATCTTCATTCTGCACATGTGAAATCTAAATTGTCCTGAGTTACAGTGACGGTGAGAAAGCTACGTTTAACTGTGTTTTCTGCAGAGTTTTAATGAGCTTTCTTGACAGAAATACAGTAAAAAAAAAAGAGAAAATACCATGCAGGGACTAGTGCAGAAGGAAGAAATGGCTATGAATCACTTTCTTCCCCATCAAGCTGACAGATTTCCTCCACCTGCCAGAAGATCCATGTGGATTGTGTGGTGGAGGATGAAAAAAGATCACAGAGAGCAGCAGAATGGCTTTACTGGATTCATCTAGCACTCTAGTTTTCTCTGATAGTGGCCTTTCTTTATAAACTGCTTAGAGAAAAATTAGATCATCCTTGCAGAGATACTTCCACAGAATACTTTTTCAGCCTTTAGAAATGTAGGGAGCGGGAAGTGGATCTTGGCTGTTTAATAGCGTAGGTACATTCTTACTCTTTGAATATGCCCCGTCTTTTTTGTGATTCCAAGAAATTTTAAGAATGCTGCAGCAGTTGCGTATATACCTTGTACACTTTTACTTGTTCTGGAACCATCAGTTACTTTACATTTCATTTTCCTCTAATTCTTGTATAGGAGGTGAACAATTGCTGCCTGTTCTCCCTGTTCCTCATGACATTGTAAATGTTTTCATACTGCCCTCAGTTTTCTTATTTCCAGACTGATGAGTCCCAGTCTATTTAACTGTTCATCATACTCTAAAACATAACATTAAACTATTTTTTTTTTCCTTTGGCAACTCTGTACCTCACAACAATTTATGTTCAGTGAGATAATACCCTTTAAAATGCTAACTTCAGGGAGTTGCTGTCTTCTTAGAGCGTAGGTCTAGTGCTGTGTAGAAATTGATATTAGAGAGGCAAGTCTACCCATATTGCCCAACCTAAGGGAAAGGGGGTGCTGTAAAGGCATAAACTTCTGAGTATAATGGACAAGTAGAAAAAAATGGTATGAAAGCAGTGACCTGATCTGAAACTGTGAGATTAATAACTTGAGTACTTCAGGTTACTTTAAGTTGCATCAACTCATCTCCCAGTCTCTCTCGACTCCCACACAGTGTTCAAAATGGTGTCTGTTCCTGCAAGATAGCTATAGCTACAAAGCTATTTTAAAACAAGTTTTCACACTATGTTCGCAGCAAGTAAAATGTCTTCATGGATTTGAAAATGGTGCGAGTAACAAGAGATTGTTATAGTTACATTTACAGTTTTCCTTTGACCTCTTACCTTCCCTGATCTGTAGTTTATGTGGTGTTCAGTATCTTAGTACATTAAGATGTTTTATTTGCTCGGAGTGTGGCTGCCTGTCTGCTGTACGAAAAGACATTTTCATCTTCCAATAGACAGGGCAACATGCATTTGGTCCACTGAGAGGTAGACACTGAATATCAAAGCTGGGACATGATGCTAAGGGCAAAGGCATACAACTGAAAATGGAAATATTTTCCATGTTCTTTTAGGTCATTGATGCAGTTAATTGAATGCAGTTAAAAGCAAAAATGTCAGTGTTTGTAGGTATTTGTACATTCCTTGAAGTAAATTGATTTCTTCTGCTTATATGTCACTTTCTATCCACATCGTTTGGACAGGTTAATAGTGATTTATTTTTCTAGACTTGTTGACCACACAGAGTAAATCAGACTAAGTCTTATCTAAGTAGATTTTTTTTAAAAAAAAGTATTACTATTCTGAACATAAATGAAGACATGAAAATGGTACAGTCAAATTTTAATTTGTGTAAATTGTCCGTTTATTTAAGTAAATTAAAGCGTAGGGTTTGTTTTCAGTGTGGAACTGGTGAATCACCAAATTCCTATATTAAGCAGGATTGAGTTCTGCCTTCCTCAATTCTTAAAATATTACATCTATGTTTTTTATTAATGCCAACATATAGAAGCCATACAGGTTGTTTTTTTTTTTAATAGAAGCTCAGTTTTGTGCCATAAAGATTCACTAAGCTGGGAAATATCTCCAAAACGTGAACGTTTTTCTGGAGATGTGAATGGCAAATACAAACTGAAAGGCTGATTCTCACTGAAGTCCAGAATGGATCTGTCTTTACGTGTTTGCTTTCCTTGTTTATCTTGAACCTTACTGTGCAAGACAAGTGCTGTGCTGTTGTTAAATATAACATTTGTATGCTAGTATATAATATTAGCTCCTTGGTCCCAAATGTTAGGTTTCTGAGAAGTTCTCTTATTTCTATATAGCCAGATTTTTTAGTAAGTCCAGGAAAAAGGACTTGTTGGCAAAGTAGTTGTTTGTGCTTCTGTAGACTCTTCTTTGTTTTACAACATGTATGTGAAAGAGGCTGGTAGTGAAAAATGAAAGCAATTTTCTAATACCATAATGAAGTTAGTTATGTATATTCTGTTGTGGAGATAAACATATTCATGTTCATTTTGAAATAATTATGTTTGTTTGGAAGACAAAAAGACATTAAAAGTTCTTTGATGTATGTTTCAGACAGTCTTCAGTAAAACTTAAATACCTACAATCATCTAGCAAAACTGTGTCACTGAACTGTAAGCTGAAAGAGGAAATGATAAGAACTTGAGTATTCAGAGTTGCCCTGACAGCTGTGAGATATGTAACTTCTACAGCATGGCCAGGAAACAGATGGAATAATCCATCCACAATGATTTCCAGTGTCTGATTTTTCAAAAATAGACATTTCTTTCTTGACTGCCTGATTGATTACATACAGTGCCTTTTCTTTTTTATACATGCATGTGGGAGCAGCAAGTATTTTAGATTATAGCCCTGTGTCAGTAGGGTGGGGACCTTGAAGACTCTACAAGCTGAAAATGGAATTGTGCTTAGCAGCGTATCATTTGTGGAGTGTTTCACTCAAGCCGTACAAAAGCAGAGAAGAGCAGTGCGTTTGACTTCCTCCAGTTTGTTTTGATGTGAGAGGAAGGTGAAGTATCAGTTGTCTCCCTGAGGTGGTGAGTTAGTCTATGGAGCAGTGAAAGGAGATAACTCTTTAGGCTTCGGCAGTCCCTTGCTTGTGTTTAGGAAAGGATTTTACAAGCTGATACTTTTCTGACCACTTGACTTGAGAGTATCTAAGGTACAGAAGACTGTTGGTATGTAGAAGATACAGCACTGAAGTACTGAAAGGTTCACCCTTTCTTAGTGTTTCATACCTGATATCGGTACACACTGAACACACACTGCTGATCTGTGTGTGAAGCAATCCCCACTGCCACCTCTTGAAATATTCTCAAGCATTTTTTACGTGGGCTCAAATACAGACTACTATTGAAGAGCTTCCAGCATTAAGTTTGTCTGTATGGACCTCAACAGATAAATGGCTTTCCTTGCATTCCAACCTGTTAAAATATTGATGAGGATTAACAATTTTTCTGCAGCATCCTCAGATCCAGAAGAAGTCCCAGTATATCAAGTATCTTTGCTGTGATGATGTAAGAACTCTACACCAATGGATCAATGGCATCCGCATTGCTAAGGTAACTGCCTCTAGGCAGTCTTGCACTGTTGTGCATGAGCTGTTGTCATTATCTGTTTGAAGCCATTTACAGTTACTTAGCAAAATACATACTAAATCTATCTTCCCTCTGTTTAACTACTCTGAACATGCACTGTACAATCTTCTTACATATTTTATTCCCTAGCAAAATTGTTAGGCTTTGTTGTTACGATAATTCAGTAATTGGGCCCTTTCTTGTTTCTGCTGTACCTCTTACCACATGGCAATGTTCTAACTGATGTCGTGGCTAGCTTTTAGCCAGTTCCCTTACAGATTTTAAAAAGAAGGCTTATGGGAAAAGAGAATAGAGAAAACAGAATTGTTTTCTAACATCCCGAGGTTGGCTTAGTTTATTCATGGGCACATTTCTTACTTGACACTTGTCTCTTCGAGCATAAGTAAACTGTTTTACTTTCTTTCAGCAGTTCACTAATAAAAAATTAATGTTGCCTGAGCTCCTTAACAAAGAGCCTCTAACAAACAAACAACTCTGTTGTTTCTCTCTGAGGGGAAAAAAGGGAAGCCAATAGGGAAGCCAGAGGTGGAGCTCAGCAGTCTGAAAAGGGTACACAGCCTATACAGTTGTTAAATTTGTTTGTCATTTTGCTTAGTATGGGAAGCAACTATACATGAACTATCAGGAAGCACTGAAGAGAACAGAATCAGCGTATGACTGGACTTCCTTGTCTAGCTCCAGTATCAAGTCAGGCTCCAGCTCATCTAGTTTGCCAGGTAATAATGTGATGTGTCTCGTAATAGGAAGATTTCATTGCCTTTTCTGTCATCCACTATTGGAGGCCTCAGGAGAGACTATTTCAGGAAATGGACTCTTTCTCCAGTCTTTTATGCTATCTTTAGTCTAAAACATAGACTTTATGTTTAACGCACACATACATATATA